ATAAGAACTAGATAGCAAAAAGCCTGCCACGGTCATACGGTTTATAAGTAATATAAGTCTCTGTGTGTTTACTTGGGTGTGAGCGGCTGCAGGAGCTGGGTGGACACAGGAAAACTTCAGCTACGGTCACATCTCCCCAGTGGGAGAGTCTCTGTTCCTTTGTTCAGAACTTGGAAGAGCTGCTTGGTTTTGCTTCAGAGAACTTTCCTTTGATGCAAACATATTTAAGCCCTACAGGAAAAGCCTATTCCCATCACAGTGAATGTTTCCACGTTTCTGTGGTCCTCGTTTTCTCATTCCTTCATGCCATTCATCTTTAGGAAAACAATCTTTCCTGTGGTTAAGCAGAAGAACTCCCCAGGCCCTCTTAAATTTAGTTCCTGGTGGCTCGTGAATTACACAGACAAGGTTAGCAAGAGAAAGGGCAGGTTTTTATTTGTAGAAGTCAAATTCACAGAGGGCAGAAGGCAGCTTGGATTTAGAGTGTGTATACTGGGCTGGATAAAGGAAAGGGAGGTTGAAAAAGGGGCGGGTCTTAGTCTGCTTTCTTTTTCTGTGATGAAGACCATGATAGAGAGGAAACAATGTGTTTGGCTTATACATCTAGATCACAGTCCATCACTGTAGGAAGCCAACGCAAGGGAAAACTCAGGAAGGGAAGGAACCTGGAGGCAGGAACTGAAGCAGAGACCATGAGGAGTGCTGCTTACTGGCTTGTGCCATGGTTTATTTAGCCTGCTTTGTTATACAAGCTGGGAGCACCTGCCCAGTGGCAGCACCACCCACAGTGGTCTGGGCTCTCCCATATCAATAGTTAGTGAAGAAAATGCCCTGCAGACTTGGCTACAGATCAATGGAGGCATTTCCCCAATTGAGATTCCCTCCTCCAAGATGATCCTTGTGTCAAGCTGACAAAAAACTAACCACCACAGGGTGCTATAAGGAATTTCTTTTAGGAAAGATGAATGGACCCCCGTTGTTAGGTCTCAAAGAGACCCCAGAACTTCTCACCCTGCCCCTACCCTAAACCTCCCCCTCCCAGGGTCTAGGCTTCCCTTCCCTTCCCTTCCCTTCCCTTCCCTTCCCTTCCCTTCCCTTCCCT